GTGGCGTTAAAGTGAGGAGTTTCGTTTCCATCGCTCTAAAGCATGTTTTCAAAAGGTGATCAGCGGTCGTGGCTTAAAATCGAGGTTGTCCGCGGCAAAAATGCAACAGAATGCTATCGTGGATTAGTGGAAGCCTGTGGCGCAAATGCTTTACCGTATAGGACAGTAGCACGATGGGTTCAAGCATCTCTTCTTTTTTCGTCATTAAGCCTTTTGACAACATGCTTTAGAGCGATGGAAACGTAACTCCTCACTTTAACGCCAAGCAACAACTACCCTTCTAAGCAAATAGACTGTTTTTTGCACTCTACACATCGACAACAGCGCCACCTCACCGCTCCCATATCCTATTTGCGCATGCCCGCCCTTCTGTGAGTTTCAAAGTTAAGTTGCCACTATTTAATTTACAACCCTCGTACTAATAATAAATACTATAAACTCAAAACTCTTTATTTACTGTGAAAAAAAAACATTTTGCAATGTGTCACTTATCAGAGTAATTCAACTTAAAGTTACAGCAGTGTGACTTCTGTTGTTGCAGATTAGATGACAAATAACTTATATCAGGTTGTAAGATGTTAGTTTAAGCAAGTTAGTTTTGGCACTAATTGTTAATTTTTTTTGTTAGTAATTTTTTATTTATTTTGTTTGTTTTTTGTGATTTTATTTTAGTTAATACGCTTCATAGTGAACTCTGTGATCGGTGGCGTGCCTAGAATGGTGTGTCGCGTGCCATAAATGGCACGCGTGCCATTGGTTCGCCATCCCTGATATAGAAGCTGAAATAAAAGTAACGAATAAGCTGACTGTGCTACATGATGGTAGCGGAGTTGGCCCACGTACTAGGAAGATACCGGTGTCGAATGCAGCTTCGGGCATGGGCGCAATTTGTCTCTCGGTTCCATCTGTCTTTTCTTGTACTGCTAGGGTGATATTGATCCATTTATATGGTGCCTAAGATAAAAGGATTATTAAAAAAGTTAGGTAATTTTTTTGGTAAGAAATAGAATGATGAAATATTCTTTAATATTTACGAAGTTATCGTTTCTTCGAAGAAGTGACGATAGTTCTTTCGCCACTTTGGCAAAAAATTCTCTCGGAGCATATACCAGGAAACGGTTTCGTCAAAAACGAAGTAAGTTTTGTGATATTTGTGAACCAATTTCTCACAGTGTGAACAGATTTAGACTTTTTAAACGAAACCGTAAAGAATTTCTGATCACAGATCCAGAAATATTACTTATACACTAACTAGATTAAGAAAAAGTCCTTAATGGAAGTTTTTCTGATGAGCCGACCGGCCTGTGTAGGGGGCACAGGGAACTGTACTTGCACCAGAAAGGTTTTGGCTTCGAATCCCGGGAAAGGCATGTATGTTTCTTTCTCTCTATCTATGTTCTATGTCCTTTCTCCTTTGTGTGGTAGTGGGATGTGGGCGACACTGCTCCACAGCCGTGGCTTCTCCCACTGGCTAACGAAAAAAGAGTTAGCAGTTCTGGCACTTTCTGTGGCCAGTGGACAATAGTTCCAAGTGCCCACCATTAAAAAAAAATCTGATAAAATAATAACAAATTCCAACTTCAAAAGCTGTGCCGAAACTCGACTCAACACTATAATACATCCGAGTGCCTGACTTTCACCACAAATATTTTTAGACTTGATATGTTTCCATTTCTGGGTCCACCGTGATATATTTGCACATTTGTTCACTAGGTCTTTTCTGCACATATTTAATATTTTTTAATTTACGTTACTTTACAGATATTTTTTCATTCTTTTTTTTTTGCAATTACTGTCAGCTAGCAAGTAATATGTTTAAATAAATTTACAATTTTAAGAAAGTTACTTACTGTTCCTGGTTCCTGAAATTTTATTAGAATCTCCACAACCTGGCTGATACTGTCCTCCATTAGGATAAAAATCCATATCTCCAGCAGGATAAGAAATACCAATACCTGTTACATAAAAATAAGGTTATACAAATATTGCGTAAAAAGTATGAAACAATCACAGCAAGGCGATGTGAAGTTGAGTACTTTCATAAAAAATGCTCAAACAGTTACTTGCATGAAATTATAGACCAAAATTTCTACATGTCACAAATTAAAAGCCACGTTATAAGAGTTTGCACGTGCACGGTGAATTTGTATTCTTATACTTATACATTTAATAGTTTCTTAGACGGAAATTGTTTCAGAGAAAAACTTGTTCGAATAATTGAAGAATAGTAATTTAAAGAAGCATAAGTGAAAAAAAAGCGATTTCAGGTACGATTTATAAAAACGAAGGATTGAGGAATTTTTTATTTCCAGTGGGCTCAAATCCAAAAAGTTATTTAGTTCAAGCTCACCATTTTGAGTAACAGCAACACCTGCTGATTCGGCTACATTTTTCCTGATTGAATTGACCCTTTTAAATGTTTGGACTTATGGGAGAGATCATTTTGAATGTTTGAATCAGTGTGAATTAAATTCCTTTAAATGTTTGAACTTAAGGGAGTCAGATCATTTTAAATGTTTGAACCAGAGAGGTTGTTGTTGTTCTTGTTGTTCATTTACGTCGCACTAGAGCTGCACAATGGGCTATTGGCGACGGTCTGGGAAACATCCCTGAGGATGATCCGAAGACATGCCATCGCAATTTTGATCCTCTGCAGAGGGGATGGCACCCCCGCTTCGGTAGCCCGACGACCTGCACGCGAAGTCGAGCACTTTACGGTAGAACAGTTTAACGAGGACCCATACCGCACACCCTCGGACCCTACTCAGAAAGATTCAAGTGATCACCCACACGCACACTGACCGTAGCCGGTCATGCTTGACTTCGGTGATCTGCTGGGAACCGTGTCTTAACGATCAGTCCACTGCTGGACGAGCCAGTGAGGATTAAATTCCTTTAAATGTTTGGACTTATGGGAGTCCGATCATTTCAAATGCTTAAATCAACGCGAGTAAAAACCCTTTTAAATGCTTGAACTGATTTAAATAAGAATACTTTAAATTCTGTCAATGCGAGTCAGGCTCTTTTTGAACGTTTGGACAAAAGGGAGTAAGATACTCCTTGAATATGTGTATCATTGTGAATTAAGACCTATAGAATGCTATGATTTGATATGAGTCCGTTTTAAATGTTGAGACATATGCTAATTAAAATAAATTTTGAATATTTGAACTAGTGTATGTTTTAGACATTTTTAGTGCTTGAAAACGGGAATTAGACCCTTTCAAATATTTGAAATCATGTGAATAAGGCATTTTTAAATGTTAGTAAAAAGTCAAAGTAAGCTTGGACCGATGTGAAACAATGCCCCAATGAGTCAGACATTTTTGAATGTTTGCATCAATTTGTGTCAGATCCTTTTAAATGTTGGAATCAATGCGAGTAAGATCCTTTTGCATAACTCAGAGTCGGACACATAGACTCATGCGAGATATTTAATTCATGACGTCATCGATTCACAAAACTTTTCGGCATTTAGATCTTTTTGAATTAGAACTCGTCATATACAACATAGATCTGCTTAGCTGTTGATTTTAATCTCAACTATAGGCCAATATAAAAAATTAATTAAAAAAAATAGTGTTTTGTATAAGTTTTTAGAATAATTCGATAATTTTGTTTGCTCAACTAGTTATGACATAAATAGTAAAAGTAGTAATATTAGGCTGTACTGTACGCTTTGATGTATGGATATTAACTTCAAAAGGAAGTATTTTAAGACACTCTAAATATTTGTTTCATTCGCCTATCTGAAGAGACGCTCAATTAAAATACTTATTGAGCAGCAGGTCAAAATATTTCAAACAACGAATATTAACCTTTAGGAAAGGGTGCAATCGAGCTTGTATGTATAATGTCCACAAATTGGGCATCATCAGAACTGATTCGGTAATTTGAAGGCAGAAGTTCAAAAATCGGTCCCGCTGGATCTAATCCTGAAATAAGAAAGTTAACATTTTTAATAAACGTTCAATCAAAATATGTTGCTTAAACATTAGGACAAAAACTGTTAGTTTTATGTAAATTCAATTAAAATGTCGCAAAAATAGTCATCGTTTTAGCACGTTGAATGCCACGCTAATTTTACATGACTTGCCTGTCTGGCCACAACGGTAAATAACTACAAACTAAATTTGAAAAGATCAGACAGATTTTGCTAGTTTTTAAAAGCTTTAGCATGAGATCTCTGAAAAGAGTGGTGAATTATATAAGCCTACGAATTGCTTAGAAATAGTGGTGGATAAAAATCTACTAAATTGAATTTATTAAACAAAGAATCACAATTAATAGACTACCACTTGAAAATATTTATTCACTGTCCGGAGCAAGTTGGCATCTCTGCGCATATAAATAAAACTATTTTTGTGTGTTCTATATTGCATTAATTCCTTTAAACCATTTTAGTAACGATAGTAATATAAAAAAATTTAAAATTTACTCGAATTATGTGTTTCTAATGATCTTGGATTCGTCGGTCACCGGTGACCCCCATGGTATTCAACGTGTTAATAATGATAATTAATAATAGGAAGAAATTGAATACTACATTTAACCTGTTAATCTTCCTAGACCAGGTACAAGAGATGCGGCGTTTGCTGCCACTTCTCCACCTAGACTTGCACCCACAAGATGAAACTGATCAGCCGCCATACTGGCATTTTTCTGGAAATAAAAACGGTAAAAAAATTTTAAAATTGGACTACATTGCATTGTTGATGGACCAGTTGCATTATTAAGTACTTAATAACTAGTTGATTGCCTAATCAGAAAAATTAGACGATTGTTTCTTTCATTGTAATTTTTTCTGCTTCGTAATAAGATCTTCCCTATATTTATGTATTTGTCGTTATGTTTGAGTGTTTAACTTAATCAAGCAAGTTGAGCGTTAATGCAGAACGTAAACTGCATGGAACCTCTTAACTGTTTAGGTTTGAATGTTCATGTTTGTCTTATAAGTAAAATCTCCGATACACGGTTGATTAAATTTCAAAGAGGCCAGATCACGCTATTGGTCGAAAATGTCGCTACGATTTGTGAGAAAGGACTGTTTTATTATTGGAATCACATACATTTGCAGGCTTGTGTGCTCAATTCAGGCTTATTTGTCAAATAGAAGGACAGATAGCATAATAAGAAGGACAGCACGAAGATACATCCAGTGTAACAGCGCGATTCGAACCCGCTACCTCCACGATTTGCACAGAGTTTGGCGGGCAATACCGCTAGGCAAGGGAGGCCTCGTGAGAAGGGAAATGGTTCATTTACGTCGCACTAGAGCTGCACAATGGGCTATTGGTGACGGTCTGGGAAACATCCAAGAGGATGATCCGAAGACATGCCATCACAATTTTGATCCTCTGCAGGGTATGACACATCATTATTGAGCATAGACTAATTCTTGCACCGAGTGATAAAATCAGTTAAAAATTGTCAGGTGAAACATTCAGAAATATTGTTGAAAAAAAATTGGGATTTAATTTTGATGAAACGCACTGTAAATTTTTTCTCGTGTTGACGATTTTCTCTCTGATCTAGTAATAAAGTAAATTTGCGTAAGGATGACGTAGCGGACAGGAAAATTTGGAAGCATTTAAAGTTCTACTGCAACACAAAGTTGAAAATTTTTTTTTATCGTGCAGTCAGAGAAAATACCTGTTGGCATTTTTATACTTACCATAAGAAAGTGAATGAAATTGGCTAAGTTCTGAGATACTAAAAAACTCATTTTCGCCGTTTCCGAGAATAAACCTGAAGAATACTTTGAATAATCCATGAGGAAGACATTCCGGTAGACAGATCTATTAAGAATATTATCCTTCATCTTCTGAAAGAATAAAGTTTCATGCTCAGACAAATCTTATGAATGGAAACTCATAAATTTTAATTCTCAAAATTTGAAGATTTTTGTGTCCATGTAAAAACTACCTTTAAAATTTAAAATCCTAATCAAAAATGAAAATATACATCATTGGGGTCGAAGCAAAATCTCAATCGAAATCTGACGACTCACTGCTGTGGAAAGCGGAATTGGAAGAGCCAAAACTTGTTCGATTGCAGTAGGAAAAAAAAGGAGTTGAAAGACGATTATTTGAAATATATACAAGTTTATTAGGCAATCAGATGGAGTTTAGTGTTTTCGGTGCCGTCAGTCTCAGTATTGAATTAATAAATTTCGATTGCATTTTTGAATTAATTTTTGATATATTTATGTACACATGTTACAAAAATGAAACAATATTTTAGTATTGTCATACTAAATGAGATATAAGCAAGTAAAAATGTCAACTACTGAACGCCAGCCGTGGCAATTGTCTCCAGATTGCATTAATTTTTGGTAAACAATCCCCTATAACTAATAAATAAATACCTATTTATTTAAAACATTTTGCAGTGTCAAAATGTATCTGACGATTGATTTAGTGCATTTATTAAGGCAGTTTAATAATTACTAGCACTTGTTAAAACGATGATAACTTTTAATGACTTTTCTAGAATCAGTTTTAAAATCCTAATGAAAACCCTGAAAAAGCAAATTTTGCAGACGGGAAAAATTTCACTTGTATCTTAAGATTACATTTTTGATGCAAATGTTTATTCTTTGTATAAATACGTATAAAATATAATTGTAAATTTTTTTTCTAAACAATAAACTGCTTATTTAGTTTAAGTAACGTCCAAACTAAATAAAAGAAAAACCGAGATCCTATTATAATTGTGATTTGAATTATTAACCAATTTATAGATTGCGAAATTATATGAAAAATGCATGAGCCACTAAGTAAAAAAGTTGATCGATATTTTTTAAGAGAACAGTTTGCACACTGACAAAAATTAATAAAGTTCCTTCATGCATAGCAAATATTCGTCATGCATAGCAAATATTCGTCAAAACGTTATAATTTTCTTAAAAGCCTAAAGTAGTAAAAATTTCTTATAAATATTTTTCAATATAGATGCGAAGGGTTTTGGGAAATATCGTGTTAAGTCACACTTTTTACAAGGACGAAATTTTTGAAAATTAAAACCGCCCCTTATTATTGTTTCCAGATAGGTACCTTACAAGTTTCCGAAATTGGGTGACTGTACAATACGAAAAAATATCTGTCTGCCTTTAAATCATGGAAGTTTTTACTTATTAGCAATCTTAATAACGCTCTAGAGAACAATTTTAAACATGGCTTATCATTATATTGCCTCCTTGATGTATCAAATTCTGCAAGTGATGTGCTTTTAAGGATCAGTTGTTAGAAACAAATATAAACTTTACCGGATATCCCAAAAGTAACCAACGATTTGAAAAATTAGTAAAAAAAAAATAAAATTGAAGGATTTTATATGACCTGCTTAGGAGAAGAAATTTTATTACCACCCAGTTTTAAAATTCGTTACAAAATCAACCAACAGATGGTGCTGATAACTAAAAAAATTCGAAAACAATGCTTTTAAAATAACCACTATTTGCAGAAACAACATGGCGTAGCCTGTTAGGACGATATCCACAAACACCCGTGTAAATATTTCAATTGGAATAGTCTGATGTGGTGCAAGAAAAATGTATTCAGTTTCATAGCTATTGGCTCTATCTCTTGATGAACTTCGCTACTAACTTAAGAACTTGATGAGAATAAACCTATTTACCAAGGAAGAATGCAATAAATGGTTCATTTTTGTCTCCGTCTTTTCTCTAATTGATATTTGCAACCGTCTTTTGAGACATCCAGTGTAAGGTTGAACTGTTTTAAAGAACTCGGGAAAATGAGGGAAAAAACAAGCAAGAGTAAATAAATTACTAAATTAAGAAACAAAAAAGTAAATGAAAATCTTTTAAGGCATTACTTACTGTATAAGTACCATTTTGTATGTTGATTTCAGTTTCAAAGCCATGTATAAGGAATATCGTTGGATGTTTTGGATCAAGATTACTCTGGATCCAAGAATCTTGGGTAGTTTTCAGGTGATATGGCTCCTTTGGGTTCATGTATGTGAACAGATAGTAAGAGACATCAAGATTATCCACCTTATTTCGATTTTCACTGATGAATCTTTTCAATTTTCTAAATCTCTCTTTAAAATTTTGACTGAAGTTGTTGATGTCCTCAATTAGTTTCTTTGTAGATATTGAGATATCTAAGAATTAGAAAATTTCTTTAAAATTTATCTTTGATAAATAGGTATATATTTTTAACAAATTCATAAATATTAATACTTAGTTTAGTTCCTTAGTATAGTCAGTTACTTAGAGTAGCTAACAGAACCTTTTTATTCCATTGACCAAGCAAAAAAAAAATCTTTTTATTGGTACGCCAAAAATTTGCACCCTACTACTTAAAACATCTAGAATCTAAAGATTCAGTCAACTTCGATAGAATTCCACGGGGCCAAGAAGATAATCTGATACAGGGGTGTTATTTTTTCTTGTACTCTATGCGTTCGTTTATTTTATTTTATTTTACAACAGTCGATGAACACATAGCAAAATTTCGAGTTAATTACTATTAATACTCAACTCTGTAGCCTTGTAATTTTGAACGCAACCAAGAAAAATCCACCTTCTGGATTGAGCAATAGAGAAAACTAGCTTTTTTAAAGGACTTTTCGATAGAACTAACCCCTATTTGCGATACATGAAGAGGAAAACCACAAAAACTCCCACGGTTAACCCGATGGCAAAGAGGATTTTAACTCATAACCCGTCGATTATTAAAGATATTTTAATAATCGAGACCGGTGGTGCGAGCCGGATGTGGAATTCGTATCAACCTGCTAACCGTGGGATTCGAACCCAGGGCATTGCATTGGGAGGCGAGTGCTCTATCGCCAGAGTTACCACTGCCTCGCGTTCGTTCGTTTGATCTTACGGTTTATTTGTATTTATACACGGAATTTATATATTCCTTCGCACAGAAGTTCAAGTTTATAGTCTTTTACGGTAGTTAAATTATAACGTACGTTTGATCATATTTCGTACGGTTTATTTGTATTTATGCACGGAATTTATATATTCCATCGGCACAGAAGTTCAAGTTTATAGTCTTTTACGGTAGTTAAATTATAACGCTCGTTTGATCATATTTCGTACGGTTTATTTGTATTTATACAAGGAATTTATATATTCCGTCGGCACAGAAGTTCAAGTTTATAGTCTTTTACGGTAGTTAAAATTATAAAAAATCTCTTCTCCCAAAAAAATTGTCATAAAATTAAATTAAATTTAGGTAATGTGTTAAATTAAATGCTTTTTATAAATCAACCCCAATACCTAAAAATATATTTTAACATAAAATTAGTGAAAAAAAATTACCTTATGAATGCTTCTATATTCGCTAAAAATCAAAATCTACCTACCATTTAGTGGATCCGTAGAAAACAGATAAAAGTAATCCAGTTCAGAAAAAATAACTATCAACGCAGAACTCAAAATAGCACAAATTGCTATGATATACTTCATTCTGTGCAGCATATTTTTTTTCCAAACGAAATATCAACATTTCAAAAACGTCATTTCAATGGACGAGGAAAAAGAATTAATGACACATCATATTTTGTCAGGTGTAGCTGATCTTCTTTCCTTTTCTTCGATTTCAAAGTTTGATAATGAATATAAACTAGTTCTTCGATAATTTTTGTTTATAATTTTTATTTCACTTTTGCTAAGGAAGGAAAAAAAGAAAGTTCCGAATTGCTACAAAAACGAATCAGTTTTTAATTCTACGTGAATACATATTTATTTATTTTTGGAAATAATAAAAGTATCTTCGGAAACTGTTTGGTAATTGAGAATAGAACAAATATTAATAATAAAACGCCAGTCACTTTTTTAAATTGCTTTCTTGATTACGATTAACTTATGATATTTAATAACAATTACGCATCAAATCAGAAAAAGTTCGTCTTTAAATACTGGTAACTTTTCAATATTTTTATTTCTATATTCATTGCGATTGGTAAAATATTCGTTTTTAAACTAAGTAATATTTGTAAAGTATTAGCTAAATATTTGTTATTCGGAGTTAGTTAAGTATTTGTTATTCACAGTTAGTTAAGTATTTGTTATTCACAGTTAGCAAAAATTATGTCATTCACCGATAATTAATATTTTTTTATGGTTAATCGAACATTCATCATTGTGTTAGTTAAATATTTGTTATTTACAATTAGTTAACTAGGGTAAACCAACCAGTGAAGGAACACTACCCAGTGAAGGAACATTTCATATATATTGATTAAAAATAAGAATTTGAAAGTTGTTCTTTAGATTGATTGGTAACAATAGCTTACTGCCAAACAATAGGAAGTCATCTAGCGATGTTTTAGATTACTTGGTCAAATAGACTTCTCTGGAAACATTTTTGAATTTGTTATTATCTCTGCAACACCTTGCTTCTTTGATAAAATTATAAGGTGAATATTTGTATTTATATGTTTGAAGTGGAATTAATTGCATGTAATAGTTTTATTTTTCTCACTGTGAAAAAGAGAATTCAAAATATAGTTGTTGAAGTTACGTTTTATTTTCTTTAAGCATCATAGCATAACAAAGTACTGAGATAAGGGGGTGTTTATTCACTGGATCACCAAACGATGAAAAACCAGTGAAGGAACAAGTGTTCCTTTACTGGTTTTTTTTTCATAGTTAATAAAATTAAAAGACAAACTTCAATTTTCTTGTACCTTTAGTGATGTTCCGCATCAAAAGTATGTTAAAAATACGAAAAACAACTAACCAGTGAGGAAACAGGCATGTTCCTTTACTGGACATGGATTTCCCAGTGAATGAACAATATGTGTTAATATGTTGACACTTTAATTTTCAATTCATGATTACAAAAAAAAAATTAAAATTTTCCAAGTATTTATATGTCATAATTTCAAGAATAGACTTGTGTTCAAATATTTGTATGGCTTATAAATTCATAAAGAGCATTAAAAAAACAAAACCAAAATTAAGTGCTCCTTCACTGGGTGTTCATTCACTTGGTCTTCTTACTACTTGTTATTTGAACCTCCAAAACTTTAAAACAATATTATGTAAGTTCTCTACAATTCTTTTACATAATTTGCAATTAGTAACAAATATGTTGACACTGTCATTTAACTAAAATTACGAATTTTGAAATAATTATGATTTTATAAAAGGCAGGCGAAGCTTAAGTGTTCCTTCACTGGTTATTTACCTTATATGTTTTTCACAGTTAGGTGAGTGTTTGTTATTCACTGTTAAAGATTTGTTTTTCACGATTAATTAAATATTTATTATTTACAGTCAGATAAATATTTGTTTTTCACAGTTATTTAAATATTTGTTATTCACAGTTAGTTAAATATTTTTTATTCACCGAGCAAAGTCTTCAATTAGATGCCCTCGAAAAGAGAAATTAGTAATTAGGAAGAATGTAATTAGTAGAGAGAGCGAAAACAATTATTCAAAAAAAAACAAAAAACATTTCATTTTATATTTTATAACCGTCGTTGAACAACAGACCCAATTTTATGGGTTTACGGCTAATGTTCAACTCCGTAGCCTTGTAATTTTGAACCAATCCAGAAGACAAAGAAACTCCTGAATCAATATCCTGAGAGGTATGACTTGTAATGGGAACATGGAGTACTTTGTGACACCACAGATTTAACTTCCATCAGCCACCATTTACTACACCAGAAGTCCTCTGCCGGCAGGGATCGAACCCACAACCTCTTGGTATTAGGCCCAGTGCTCTATCAACCAGTCTATTCCAGCCCTAACTTAAAACATTGAAAAACACGTATTTAAAAAAAATAAAAATCTAATTTTCATGGGATTGTAATGAAAAATTATTTTATGATAAGCAGGATGAAAAATCAAAAGATGACTCAATCTACACTACGCAACACGGGATAGCCGAGCAAAAAATAAATGAATCAATAATTTATTCAATTCCCATGCATTAATGATCTCTAAATATTGTAAGTTGTTTATATCTCAAAAACTATGCAAGAGTTCCAAAATAAATATACTTCTTTGTATTTATTCTAATTTATACAAAATGGAAACTTAGAATTAGTATCCAAATGAAATTGTGTTTCTGGCGCCGCATCTTCTTGCCACTCGGCGTTTATTCCCATAGTAGATATTGCAGAATTCCATTCAGTGCAAGCGCCATTTTGAAAATCTTCGTAGTTCTTACAGCTTATTCCAATAAATTGACATTCGTCATTGCAAAAAGATTCCAAAAAGAGGAATACTGCTCGACGGTGGGAACAATGGATGGCATTTACCATTTCTATACCTGGGAAGAAAAAAAAACAGAAAGTAATCATTGGGGATTTTTTTAGAAAAAAATTTCACCAATTCACCAAAATTTTTTCAATTCATGAAGTCAATTTTTTAGTTTTTATTTATTTGTATTTAAAAGTGAAGATGTTTGATGCTGATGGCGAGGAAATAATTATTGCAGACGCAAAATAAGTAAATAAATAAAAAGAATTAAAAAAAAAGAACTGATTAAAATCATTGGATCCAATTATTTTTTATTCTATCATCTTCAATGTAGGTTTCTTCAAAACAATATTATTCTGGACGTAGAGAGGTCCATCTGAAGATAGTTTCAGATTTATTCGTTTCTTTAGAAACATCAATTCTTGGTATATATATATATGTATCCATAAATATCCATCCATAACCTTGATTGATTTGTTCTGTTTTATTTTCGAATCGGTTTATTGTTTTTTGGTGCTCCTCACACTATTGTCTTGATATATTTTTCTTATTTGGCAACATCAATGTAATATTAGAAAGCACTATTTTGTTGATATAGTGGTGTGAGCTGAAGACGAAATTATATCTTTTCATTGTTTTGTTTTCCAATTTTTTTTTAATTTTATGCATTTATAAAAATTTCTAACTAATCAATCTAATTAACCGATTAAGCAAACAATAATATTTTTGAAGCAAAGAGAAATTATTTAAAAGCAGTTGACAGTTGGAAAGCTGAATAAAAAAAATTTGAATATTTCATCAAAAATTAACTTGTTTTTCGAAGAGATATTAGGTGTTATTTAACTTAACTAATTTAAATTAAGAATTATTTTGAAGTGTTTTAAATGCAAAACTACAATAAAACAACAATTAATTTGTCAACTTGTCATGTAATTACGCACTAACTTACCAATAGAGGTGTTGGATGTAACGTTTTCTGTTGCATTACAGCCAGGTTGATATTTTCCCCCATTGGGATAAAAATCCACATCTCCGACAGGTTGAGGTATACCCATTCCTGAGACAAGACATAAAATCATATAAACAAGTGTTTGTAACTGTAAACAATTATTGTTTGTTATTTTGTTATTTGTTTTTTTGCATACTAATTACATTTTGTAAAATAGTGAACACATCTTATCAAATTTAAATTCAGGTTGGTCAGTTATGACAGTCCTTACATTTTCTATAACTAAGTCAAAATTGACGAAGACGATAAAAAAAAATAAACTCAATCGAAATCTGTCGAATCTGAAGTGTGAAATACAGGGTGTTTAAAAAGTCCCGGACCCATTTTGATGATTAATAACCCATAAAATAATAAATAGTTAGAGAGACTCTAAAAGTTTCACGACCCTTGTCAATGAACTTCCACGTGTGCCCCCTTCGTCACACGGAGAATATCAAGTCGATAGTCAATTTTACGCCAGGTAGCGGCAAGCATATCGGCATCCACAGTCCAGAATTGCGGTTGTAATTCTGGTTTTTAGGTCATCAATGTTCGACACGATCCTCCTGTAAACATTGTCCTTTATAAATCCCCAAAGAAAAAAGTTCAGTGGCGTTATATCAGGTGATCTGGGTGGCCAAGAAATTGGATCTCCTCGCCCAATCCATCTTCCTGGACAATGGTCATTCGAAGAACTACGAACGATGATACCCCAATGAGATGGTGCACCATCTTGGTGCAAAAAGACATGTGGCTGAAGCTCTTCTAGTTGTGGAAATGCGAAGTTTTCCAACATGTCTAAGTATACGACTGATGAGACCATCTTTTCTGTAAAAAAGAAAGGCCCAATGACTCGGTCACCTGATCACCTGATATAACGCCGCTGGACTTTTTTCTTTGGGAATTTATAAAGGACAATGTTTACAGGAGGATCGTGCCGAACATTGATGACCTAAAAGCTAGAATGACTACCGCAATTCTGCACTGTGGATGCCGACATGCTTGCCGCTACCTGGCGTAAAATTGACTATCGACTTGATATTCTCCGTGCGAAAGGGGGCACACGTGGAAGTTCATTGACAAGGGTCATGAAACTTTTTGAGTCTATCTAACCATTTATGTTATTAATTTTAATCTATCTTTATTATTTTATGAGTTATTAGACATCAAAATGGGTCCGGGACTTTATAAACACCCTGTATACTAAAACCTGTCAAATCGCTTAATAAAACCTGGTAGTGTTTCTATTTATGGCCTTTCAACTCTTTTCTGTTTATTTTTTCTGGTAATTAAACAAGTTTTGATATTTTCTATACCGCCTTTTAAAGTAGGAATATGCTAGATATTTTCTTGATAGCGTTTTTGATTTTTGCTCAGTTAAATAATAACATTTATAATTTATTTTAAAAGCTTTTTTTTTTACTTCATTTGACTAGGATTTTAAAAATATATATTAAGGGGCTGTCATTACAGAACATCCTACATATGCTCAAAAAAAAAAAGGAAATCGTTTATTTACTATCTGTCAATATGTCCATAATTGAAGAGATTAATGGATGATGTTGTTGCTGTTCTTGTTGTTCATTTACGTCGCACTGGAGCTGCACAATGGGCTATTGGCGACGGTCTGCGAAACATCCCAGAGGATGATCCGAAGACATGCCATCACAATTTTGATCCTCTGCAGAGGGGATGGCATCCCCGCTTCGGTAGCCCGACGACCTGCACGCGAAGTCGAGCACTTTACGGTAGCACAGTTTAACGAGGACCAATACCGCAAACCCTCGGTCCCTACGCAGACTGATCCAAGTGGTCACCTACCCACACACTGACCGCAGCCAGTGATGCTTGACTTCGGTGATCTGATGGGAACCGTGTCTTAACGATCAGTCCACTCCGGGAAATTTTTGGATGAAAATGTTAAATAGAAGTGTACTGAATTTCAGAATATTTAATCTAGAATGCACAACACCATAACTTACAACCGATCTTAAACATGAAATGTTTGACTTTATAAAAAATGTTACGTAACGTCTTCTTTAGTAAGCTTATTAATGTCATATCAAAATTAAAGACAGGGATGGTCCCGGGGCATATGACTCACGTATCCAAATCAGGTGTACCAGGGTTCGAATTAGGTCTGTTACTGGTCAGATTATATACTGACCCTGCTCGCATATGGAGGCGATATGGTTATTGCTAACGAAAACTGAGTGAGAACCCCCTTGCCGTCCGGCAAATCGTTGTTGTTGCAAATTGTTTCTGTTCAAATGCTGGTTAGTTTTACTTAAGAAGTCCTCCATCAAGGTGAGTTTGTCCTGATGCTTTTGTTTTTTGTAGATTAAACTCTACGAAGTTCAATACTAGTAGTTGCAATTCCAATATGAATCGACTGTTCAACGATAATTATGCAATATATCAATGATAGTGAATTTATAGTATTACAAGACAGAAAATTGTTATTTTTTAATTTTTCTTACTGAGCTTTGAAACTAATAGGTGGTGATATTTGTTATCAAGATTTTATTTTTAATTCATCCTCGTTAGAAGCAACTTTTCATTGCCGAATCGAAAAAAAAAATGAATTGGTTTAGAAGACTAACGAATATTTAAAGCGCCGAAACGACGTTACTTTCCGATCCACCTAATTCTATTTTTTGCGAAATACTTATATGTTTTAAAATATTTAATAGCATGAAGCACGGTTCGAAGCCTTTTTCCGGATTGACCAAAAATGCTGATACACAATTCCGTTCTGATTCATTTCACTCAGTGTAAGGCCTTACGCGTTGTATTTTTTTATGGATGGTGCTTTCTACACTATGCGCTGTAGCTCTTTACTTCCCATATTTCCCTGTTACTATATCCGGTGCACTTTGAAACCATATGGCACTATGTGTTCACTGTGTAGAATGTATTCTCTGTTCTGAATCACAATTTTCAAAGTAAACTAAGTCTCGTTACTCTAATTAAATGCTAACACTAAAAAAAAACACGGTGCACTTGCAACTTTTTTTCTTTTCTTCCAGACGTGGACACGTACCTAGGTTTGCAAAACCCTTAACCGTAAAGTCCACGTCTGGTCACGGGTCTAGCTCGCACAATACGCAATATATATGCAAACAATCGCATTATACACCACTGCATCACAACCACAAAGCACAAGGTGCACTTGAAACTAGAACAAATAGCAATATACAAGTTAAAAGAAGACAAATCACAACTGCCAAAAAAGTGAGTTCTTTCTAAATATAACAATAATGGTGCCTTTTTTTTAATCATATATCTTTAATTAACTAAAACAAATTTTCTCTTCACACTCACCGAAATTACTTAATATCCTTAACATATTACGAAATGTTGCAGATTTTAGTTCAGAAGTCTTATCTATTTCTTTTATTGAAAACAAAATTACCTGTTTTGAAACATCGCCTCCCACAATAGGCTTAACAGCTGTTAACTTTTGAACGGAAAGTCGTGAATGTAAAGAGCTCAAGATTTGTTTTTGTTTACAGTTGTATTAAAAACATCATCAATTTGATGAGTTAAATTAATTTGAAAGATAAATTTCATGAAATATTCCTTTAACAATAAATGTTCCTCTCTAAAATACTACTTCATCCTTTCTCCGTAAATCAGTTTCTTTGACATTGGTGATTGAAATAAATTTTCAAATTCAACTTTACTTTCAAATAAATATTTCTTTTAAACAAAGCATTTTACCAAACGGAAATGACGAAGCTCCTGTATGTATGACGTCAACAAACAAAGCACTTTCTGAACTGAGACGGTAATCAGTTGGAAACAGCTCAAAGAGCGGACCAGCGGGATCCAATCCTGAAATACAAGAATGATTGAAAAACAAGTACTTGAAAACTTGTTCGAAAAAAATCTGTTTGTCATATTAGTAAATCATTTGATTCAAAAATAAAATACAAACCTGTAATTCTTCCTAAGTTAGGAATGAGTACTCCAGCATTTCCAGAAACTTGTGCTCCCAGACTAATCCCAATAAAATGAAATTGCTCGATGGGAGAGAAAGAATTTTCCTAAAAAAAGTAAGTTTTATTAAAACTAGTTTTATTAAAATTAGTTTTATTAAAATTATGTGCATCAATTATATTAATACATTTTTTTTCTAATGCCCACCCTATTGACACTAGTCATCCAGTTATTAGTAGGGCAGATTTGTTGGTCACTCCTTCAGGTGCACCATATTAGACGGACCAACGTTACTCCCACTATATGCACAGATAGTACAGGGAATGAAAGAACATCCATGGCTTGTCCGGGATTTGAGCCCAGAACGGATGAGAGATCAGTTCCCTGATCACTACATAGTCCGTTTGGCACATTAAAAAATAAAATTTTGAACTATGGTGTTAGTATGTTCGATTAAATAAAAAAACTAAACTAAACTCAGTGACGCGAGAGCCCATAGAGGGCCAAGGCCTATTGTGCCTATCTTAGTTTTCTTGACCTTGGGCTCTGGGGTGCAAGAGCAGATGTTCCAGTTAGGTGATCAGCCGAAAGCGGAACCTCCAGTGTTTAGTTCCCAAGCATGCTCATTTATCGACCCACTGAAGGGATGAGAGGCTGAGTCAAGCTTGCCCGGCTCGAGGATTTCCATGAAATAAAGTCATTTTAATTTTGTGCTATAACTGGACGCAAAAACCAATGAGAACCAATTAGGTATGTTGGAGCGAGGTGATGTCTAGTAGTTTTTGAAAGATAAGACAATTAACTTCAAAGCTGGCTAATTGGGCATTATAGAAAGATGATTACAATGACAGATTGTAAAACCAGACTCTTTGTGCGGTATATCTCCCGCAAAGTGGCGCTGCTGCGGCTAAGAGGTGTCTTCATTGCTATACCATGTATATAACACGTATGTTAAGCAATTCTATATCCAAACACTTTTCTTATAAGAAGTAATTAAATTTCTACCACATCTGGGAGGACGGAAAAAAATCGAATAAGTGGAAAAACAGGGACAGGGAGTCTCCCACTGAAATAAAACCTCTACTTTTAATAGTTAATATACCGATAATATTTATGTATGATTTTAATTTATTTTATAACCATCGTTGAACAGCAAACCCAATTTTATGGGTTTACGACTACTAATGTTCAACTCCGTAGCCTTTTAATTTTGAACCCAATCCAGAAGGCAAGGGAACTCCTGGCTATGACTACGAGAACCTCCCAATGTTAGACTGACGGCAAGGGGACTCTAACCCATGATCCGTCTACCACTGAGGATATTTCACGTCAGCATTGTGGTCAGTGCAAGCCAGATACGGAATTCGTATCGACTGGAATTCGAACCCGGTTCGCCTCATTGGTAAGGGAAAGCTCTGTCCCCTGAGCCATCGCGGCTCTTATATATGATTTGAAATAAATGAAGTGGCGCGTCATTTAATAAAATCTAGAGGACATTGGCACGATTAGGTATCAATAATGGCAGCCTTCAAATCGGCAACAAATGTAAACTGTTATTTTTTGGTATATACAGCTATACAGGAGATAGCCCCAACATTTTATTGCGGATTAAGTCTGGGGGAAAAGGCAGGAAGTTTCTGATAAATACCTTATTATCAAAAAATCACTATTTTTTTTATGTATATTTGAGGTCAGTTCCTCAAACCATTACGATTGAGTTCTAGTATATGAAGATCCGATCATTATATCGAAAGTCATTCAGAGTGTTTCATTTCATTTTTTGCGCATTGCACATGCAAGAGAAAGGTATATACAGGGTGGTCCCGAATTCATGGTACAAACTTTAATGGTAGGTACAGGACATTGTAACAATGATTTATTGTATAGGAATGTATAGTCGCAAGTGACGCGGTGAGCCGTAAACAGGGGAAATAAAAGGAAAGAGAAATGGAGTGATCGGTTGGTATCATTGCCGGTAGAGGGCAGTAGTGTGCAGTTCGGTGCTCGATGGATTGGGCGTGGTGGACCAATCCCTTGGCCACCCCGATCTCCCGATTTATCGAGCCTCGATTACTTTTTATGGGGACATCTAAAGCATCTTGTTTTTGAGACTCCAGTTGACTCAGATGAGGATCTCGTCGCTCGCATATCTGTAGCTGCTGCAGGTGTGCGTGAAATACCATGCATCTTTGAACGTGTACGCCAATGGCTCCACCGACGCTGTCAAGCATGTATCGCTTCTGGTGGACGCAATTTTGAACACTTACTGTAAACATGACACTTGTCAACAACGCTTTCAATAAAATCTTTGTTTTTCCTTTCGGCCGTTATTTCTTCTGTTTACGCCTCACCGCGTCACTTGCGACTATACATTCCTATACAATAAATCATTGTTACAATGTCCTGTACCTACCATTGAAGTTTGTACCATGAATTCGGGACCACCCTGTATAATTCGGCTAAAAATACAAAACCAATTTAGAATGGCAGGAGGCAATTCTTTAGCTCATAGTGAAAATAAAAGTGAAAAATATTTGAGTGATATAAAAATTTGCAAGAAAACATACCGCAATGAACTGCGCGAAATGTACTAGATTCAGTGCCACTAAATAACTATACTTGACTGCTTCCGTATACGGACCTTGACAATACTTGGTATAATCCATTATAATAACATTGGCAGGGGAACGTTGCAGCAAATAATCTTTCATAACCTGAAAATATTTTTTTATTAAAATATTCCAATTAGTATTCCAATTTATTTATTCCAATTAAAATAACCGATAAAATCTTTACTATTTCTCTTTTAGATTATAACTATAAAAAAATCTTGAGTGAAATGGAGCGTTTTTAATCTATTTTTTTTTTCATACTGAAATTACAAAAATGAAACATATTAACTTAAACATAACAATTACAATAAAGCGCACAAAGTTGTATAACTTCGTGCGCTTTATTGCATGTAACAAACCTAGCTTTTGTTGTCCAAAGGTCAAATTTGGAAAAGCTGTCCAGTGTTCCAGGAAAATTAAAAAAAATTGGTAAAGTAAAAATTGATATTAAAGATATTCGAAAACACATTGTTTTACCTATCCAATTTTATATACTGAGAGCATAGATTTCCGGCAGTGATTGTTGAGCGGAAATATTTTCTCTTTATATTTAAAACCGTAAACGTCACAGCCGCTGCTATAGATTTTCTACTTCATATTACATTTTCCTTACATGCACAAAAGTTATTAAGCTTAGAAACTTACAATTACGAAAGTGTGTATAAAAATTTACAGGGAATAATATAAAATTAAAAAAAATTAACATTCGAAAATTATTAACAGTTAAACTTGTAATAAAAATACCACGCGAGCTGATCTGTTGCCCGCTTAAATGCAACTACGCTGTTGAAATTTAAAGTACGATTTTTATTTATTAACTTAGCTAGAGAATGATTTTAAAATTGCACTTTATTCTAAAGTTATTAATGATTTACGTGCTTTTTAATTCAATTCTTTCTCATCATTTTGTTTCAAATATTGAATATTTATTCATTATTGTAAGAAAATTAATTTTTTCTCTCGAGATCTTTATTTTGTAAGATTGTGCATGTGATGATGTCTAAAGTAACAAGAAGAGAGATAAATTGCTGCCAGATATTAATTGTAACAATTACATTGAAATTTTTAAAAATAAACAATTTAATGCGAGAGAGATAAATATTGTTCTCTATTGGAATTGTTATAAGCCCGACTATTTAACCGATTTTCAGCCAAATATTTTTTATTCGCAGTGTGATGTACATTCTTGACTAATTTCATTTTTCTATTTAAAGGGTTCTAAATATATCTATAAAATAATATTAATTTAATTGGAGTAATCATAAGACATGTTTTACATACACTAGTTGCTTACGAAAAAAGTATATTTTGTCAATACAATGTTCTCTGTTTTAGTGGAAAATGTTGTTTCTTAAAGGAAAAAAACAATGATAAATGCGAACCAATTACAGGGATTGGTAAGCGCAACAGGCACGTGGAGGATCCTCCTAGATTTTTTAAATAATTGAAAGGGTAAACAATGAGTTTTCGAATGTTCTTTTAGAAACTTTACTAACGGTTTTCCCAGAATGCTGTTCAGCTTAAATTAGGATCGTGGGGCTCTGGGGATCTCTTGAATAAGACTTCCTTAAAAGGATAAATTATTTTTGATTTAGTGGAAATGTTAAAAAAAACTGTTATTGATATTGATTGTCATTGATTTCGCAATAAGGACACCTGATTTGCATAATTTATTAGTAATTTTTAACATTTTTAACTAGTAAAATACATTGTGTTTAATTTTTAAACACTTCCAACTTTAATTGACATTGTAAACGTCCTATTCTTAAAAAAAAACTTTGAAGATATTGTTTGAAGTTAAAAGATTACTTTTGTAAGTCAAAATAATGCCATTTACAAAATACATATTTTACTGTTTTTTTAATCATAATAAATGAAGCAATATAAATTATTATTTATCGTTGATTAAACTATAGTTAATGCAAAATTCAGAAGGATATATACGTAACATGACGTGTTTAGTTTTCACTTTTACTTAAAATCACAACTACTAGAAATGAAAACATAATTTATATAATGTCTTTGTTAAAGAGTAAGAGTAGAGATATTCTATTTTGGGAATTCAAGGCTGAAAACATACCATTGAATTATAATTAGATTTATGTTTCAAAGGAGGAGTTATTTTTAGAATCTTTCCCTCTTTCGCTTCCATATTAGGAAGCATTAAATGATTTTCCATAATGCGTAGAGTTACAATGGTATGTACGACTGGAACCTAATTACATCATTCTCCGTAGTATTTAATGCGGGACCGATGGTTTTCGCATGTCTCTTGCTGACTAATGTGTTCCAATAAACATCTGCCGGAATCATCCGGAGTTTCGTCCACACCCCCTCCCTTGTAGAGTGGGGAAGTGAACTGCTATAACCATCAGCCTATCTTTAAATAAATCTTTTTGTAACGTATTATGGCTTTTGACTGCATTATAAAGCTGAATACAACAATGATAACAGGGATGTAGCCCTGTTATTAAATATAAATAAAGTTCAAAATGAAGATAAAACAAAGGAAAATAACAGACAGATGAAAAAAAGGGGGGGGGGACGAAAAATAATAATAAAAAAATGACAAACAACTGGGGAAAAAAAGAATATTGTGCTCTAGTTTTTTTGTTGTAATTTCGTAAAAAAGTTTTTTGAGTGCTCCTCACACTATTGTATTAATATATTTTNCTCCCACGGTAAGCCTGGCGGCAAGGGGACTCTAACCCATGATCAGTGTTAAGAAAATTTTTTAAGTGCTCCTCACACTATTGTATTAATATATTTTGCTTTTGCTAAATTGATACAATATCAGAAAGCACTCTTTTTTGCGAATATAATTGTGTGGGCTGATAAAAAAATTATATCTCGTTGTATTTATTTATTTTGTTATATATTTGTAGTTGTATATTTTCATTTAACGCAAAGACAGGCAGGAAGCAGTGCGGAACATAATTGAACTAATTATGCACCGAAGTTGAAGAGGTACACAAAACAAAAACATATCACGGTTACAATAAAATACATAAACAAGTAATAAATCTAAGTTAAGTAAAAGAAGTGGTCGAGAAAGAATTATATTTCAACTAATTCGATGTGCGATACGAATCTGCATTTAATTTACTTATCGCTAATTGACATTCTAACTTACGTAGTGAAACTTAAAGATTAGCTGGCGTTGACGTCATAAGTCACATGTGTGGGTATGGGATGTCTTCTTCTTGAAGTGCAAGTACCCAATTGTAAGATATTCCATTATTACAGACGTATAACGAACTGGATAAAAACGTTAATTAAATTATTAAAAAAATAATACTCACAGACCAAGTACTGTTGTTTAGATCTACAACTGTTGAGTATCCATGAACAATTACTGTTGTTGGTAAAGACGGGTTGAAGTTACTACCTGATAAAGACTCTTCAGTGGGTCTCAAAGAATATGGAGATCTGAGATTCATGGGTGTATATAAGAAGTATTTAATATCCAAGTATCTAGTGTTATTCTTATGTTCGTTGATGAACAAGTTCATCTCTGTGAATCTTTGTGAGTAGTTAGAAATGAAACTTTTGATATCATTTATTATCTCTTGAGCAGAAAAATCTTCTGTATCTAGTTCAAAACATAGATATTAGTTAAAAGAATGAAAATAAATTGTAAAAAAAGTAAGATTATAAGCATTAAACTTATTTTATTACATAAGAGTCAGTTATTATGGTGCAGTTAAAAGAGTGGTTTGCAAAATTATGGCAATCTTTTAAAGAACGCAGGTGATTTAATTCAACAAATTTTAAATAATCCTAAATAATCTCTTTTAATAGTTTGAATAGTTAAAAAAAAAGATTGCATTGAATTTTTAACTCTTCTCTTTTAGTTGCTGCATGACAGCAGTTTTTTTAAGGTGTCTTATGTTAGCTATGATTGAGATTATGCAGGTGTTCAGTATTCATCGCTCTTAATATATATTTCTTTAGAATCCTTGTTAAAAATGAAGTAAAAAATTTACACTTTAATGATTAAGAATTATTGTTGAAGCGAGGGAGAAGGTTATGTGGCGTAACTACCTCTTCGATTATTAACCCGTTTTGTCCCGAATTTATGTATTGAAATGTTACAAAAAGTGGTTTTATGGAAAAAGTGGTATAATATATTTTCGAAATTAATTGTTTTTTCTACTGTTAGGGCATTCAAAAAGTCTTTGATAGATCTTAAAGTACTTCCTTCTTATAATTCTAGATCTAATCAGAAATAACTAAATCATTGTGGTATCTGAGAATCTTTTAATTCACCCAGATAAATGAAAATGCTACATAAATTTTTCCACCACAATGAATGTTTTTGAAAAAAGGAACTGTCCTAAATATATGACGCTGGGCGTTAACCGGTTAAACATCAGTTCACTAGTATTTTAGACATGCTAACCCTATTTGATCTTGAGCTACCTTTCGGTAGATAAAGGTCTCTCTAAAGGTAGATTTCTACACTCACCACATTAGTGACCCGGACGTTGAAAGTAGCGCCCACTTCGCTGGATGGTCCTCATTGAACAGTTGACTTGCTATTTGTGATTGCGTCATCGTCCTCCTCGCGCTGTTGCTTCTCAGTCGCATCTACACGCAACGGGAATCCTATAAACACTCGATTGCTACTAGCAACACAGGAGAGACTACATAAACAACCGTTAACTTAATACAGATCTCTCAACTAAGGCTAAAAAAAGTCAGTGAACTTAATACAGCTCTCGCCACAAGAACTCAAAATTCGGTGAACTTAACACAGCTCTCTCGGTCTTTCGCAAATACGGCAACTGGTGGTATTCGTTCATCGAGTTCTATCCCTTATAAAATTCTGGTGGGGAATATTGTGGAGTAACTACCACTACGATTATTAAATATAAATTCAGTAGTATATAAGACATGCTAACTTGATTCAATCTTGAGGTATTTGATAGATGATAGTTGGTATTGTCTATTTCTTCTCTCCCTGCTGTTATTTTAATCTAATAAATTGTTATTGAGTAAAGAAAGATTATTAATATTTAAACCAGTTTAATTCCCGAAGGAAACTTAAACTGTTCGGCCTCTCCGGGACATATATACCCTGTAATCGTAATGACAAATGTGGTCCGTCTAAAAAACCCGGTGAGACACAAATGTCCTAACTCCGTCCTAATCACTCAGATTGCTATTTTTTTTATTTTGACAGAATATTGCTATTTTCTACCTTACTTCGATCGATTAAAGTAGTAATTTGCCTTTTGATTGGAAAAGAAGAACACTAGTCTTGAAAGGGTTGAAGTTTTTTTTTTTTACTAATTGCTTTTCACTTTTTTTCAATTTACTTCAGTCATCAAGAAGGTTTTGATATTTTTAATCTTACTCCCCTGTTAATATGTCATATTAGAATAATGCTTCTCGTTTTTCCTCGCTTAAATATAAATTTGCATCCTCTAATCTCTATGTTTACTTCTTTTTTACACACGCCGACCGGACTGCAAAGGGGTCAGAGAACTGACCTTGCATCAGAAAGATTCTGGGTTTGAATCCCGGGCATGGCATGGACGTTCTTTCATTCTCTGTACAATTTGTCCTTATTGAGGGAGCAACGTTGGCCCACCTATATGGTGCCCCTAAAAGAGTGGCCACCAAATCTGCCCTGTAAGTGCCTGAATTGACGAAATGTTAACACAGGGGGGGAAATGTTAGCGCATTGAAAATAAAGAAACTTCATTTTTACAAGGGCTTCAAAAAATATATTTAAAGTGAAAATTACAGACTGTGTAATGTACTTCTTGAAATCCTCTGTTTTGAGAGATTGATTACAGGTATTGTTTTTTTTAAAGGCGTACTTTTCTCGTTTTTTTCTTTTTTTTCGAATTGCAAGTAGTAAAATATACAAAAGGCTAGTGTTTAACATTTATTTAATCAAAAATTATAAATACTATAAAAAAACAAGCATCCTATGTGCGAAAGCAACAGAGTCTGCAAATATACTGAGAAAACAAAAATATGGTTAAACTACCAAAATATGTTAAAATTTACTGCGCTTCTGGCTATCACAAAGTTCAATAATTTTTACCGAAGCATTTTGGCAAAATTGATAATAAAATATAGTTTTATAATTTATGATAAAATTTAGCAAATGAGGTTAAATCTAGCAAAATTCTCATGATACCTAAGAGCATGGAATAGAAATAATTTATTCGATTAAATTCACTTTTCAGATTTGTATTTTTTTTTACTAAATGTGTGTTAATAAGAACTATAGTTTTGAAAACCAAAATAACTGGTAAATCGTTACTATACTTTACCATACAGAAAAATTACCACATTAATGGTTTAAATAACGCATATTTTGATTTTATTAACCAGAATTATGTTTTTTTATTACTTGAAATGGCATTACCATGTACAGTAATTATCACCACAACTTTGTACTTAGTGTATGAAGGACTTAAAAGTTTCAAAAAGCAAGCGCTGATATCCTTTCAAAAACAGTTTAGACATTTTGTTAATGTAAGACGGAGGAAAAAACAGTCTGATATAGTTAAAAATAAGGGACAAATTGGTTAAGTTGCTCCTTATAAGGACAGCGAATATTTTACGACTTTTCACTTACTAAGCACTTTTAATTGTAGTATTGTTGTAAATGTGACAAATAAATTACTAAATAAAAAATAGATAACGATAAATGATGTGGGACAATAATTAAGTTATATCAGAATAGTTAACATAACACGATTCAATAAAAGAACAGTATTCCTGAAATTTCAAGCTAAAAGATTTTATGAAAACAACATTAAGAAAAGTATATTTACTAACCTGTACTATAGTCTGATGAAGGCATATCACTACAACCTTTTGTTCTTTCAATGGTCGGGAAACTTTGCACAAAAGACATTACAAGTAAAAGGTTTATTACGTATGAAATGGGCATTTTTGTGCTATAGTAATCTCCTATAACAATACAAATGACTGGCTTATCGAGCAAAAACATGCAATAAAGGTTTTTGTTTCTTAATTGTATTTGAAAAACTTAAGAAAATTGCTCTATTTAAAAAAATATACTAAAATCAGAAAGTAATAAAAACAAAATAAAAGGAGTATTTGTTTTTAGTTTGTAAACATCTTACAATTGCTCATTCTTCTTTTTAAAAGTTTAACGACTTCGGTTTTGAGCTATACCTGAAACCAGTTTAGCGACTTCTGTTTTGAAACTCTGGAAACTTACTCTTTATTTAAACAGTTACTTGTGTATTACAACTATTTCTAATCACGGTAATTTTAATTTAAAAAATTATTTACAAACATAAAGAATTTAAAAACAATAGAAAGTCTTATAATTTTAATCAAATACTGCATCGTCATAAGCATATTTCGCAACGCTTGCTAAAATGTTTTTTGTTGCTGGTAAAGAAACAACAACTTTGACTTCGACTTACTTTCCGATTAACTTTTGGTGAGCTTAAATAAATGCACATGTTTTAATGTACAAACATGACAAACATGACAAACATTTAATGTACAAACATGAACTATTAAAAACAATAGAAATTCAGTTTTTCAAATAATGTTACTAGAATCTTACTAAGTGCTAATTGAAAAAAAGAAAGGTTATATAAGACGAAAAATTACTTTTGCTGCAACTGAATCACTTAAGTGAATTCTAAAGAATGCGCACGACACGCTTTAATTTACGTGCATTTAATGTAGTTTTTATATTTTGCTTAAAATACAGTTTAGTCTTTTCTTTCTTTTATTTATTTTAGGTTGTTAGAATGTCATTTCTAAAATGATTTCTTTTCTGAAGCAATCTAAAGTAATAAAATGTTTTTTATGAAAAGTATGTTTTTTATGGAAAAAGAAAACGATATATTATAATTAACGATAAAAACAATATTATTGTTTAATATCTCAATATTTTGAACAAGTAAAAATAAAACTGTAAAAGTTTGTATGATCGAAAACTAACTGAATTCTTCCTATATTTATTCATGTTCCACTTCTAAATAAAATTATCTTTAATACATAGATACTCATAAATATAAATTTGCTAGAAAATATTTTTTTAAAGTAATTTGTTTCGTTTGACAAGCAAACGATAATTCTCCTTAATATAAATGCGTTTCAAATGTTGGCAGATATTGCTGTGTTTTCATATATGTGGATTGAACTTGTGAAATAAACCATGAAAAAGTAAAATGGGAACCTTTTAGTAAATATGGATTTTTTTTTAAAATTGGAATCAGAGAATTTATTAAATTTAAGTAGAAACAGAGAATGTATTAATGTTTTTAGTCATACTTTTATTTTTATTGTCATGACACATTTTAGTTTGCTATTCCATCAAATATATTTTATTTATTCCATGGTTTGTTAGATTATATAAATAGAACTTTGTTTCTCGGATTATAAGTTTCCAGATATTTCACAATTTTAAATATTATTAAAAAATAGTTCAGGGCTAGATCACAGAACACAGTGTGATTTCATAGATCACTGTAAATTTTGAGTTAGGATTTGATGGCTGAGTTCTTAAGAAAACTGTATAAATTACCATAAAAAAACTGTTTTTAAAATTTAAAAAGAACAGTGATAATATTTTTGTGGTATTTTTATGAAACATTTCGCTTTATAAGCATTTAAGGTTTTTATATCTTTTTTATATTTACTGAAAAATCACGCATGTAAAATCATTTTTAAAATGCTGTAGATCAGTCTACTTTTCACGAATTATTTCTTAAAAATCTTTTAATATAAAATTTGAAAATATTAAAATTTTATGTTACAATCGAATGAAATTTCGAAGTGAATGAAATTTCGCTCCAAACTTACAGCTCAATTTAGTACAGAAATCCTATTTTGGAGAATCTAAGTTAACTTTTAACGACGACGAATTATCATATCAACGAGTTACGAGTTAAATAAAAAGTATAATACAGTAAATTAATTTCTAGAAACAATTGGAATTCAAGCTAAATTAAAATTTGAACTTAAAACTTTATTATTTTTCTTTTAGACTTGCTGTGACGGTACGCAAAAACATTGATTGAGATTTATGATTGGAAGTTAAAAAAATCAGTCATTAAATTGATTAATATGAACTTGAAAGAAAAATAAATCATTCGTTGCTTACCTGGAAATGAACTATGCTATTAAACATAGACGTAAACAATATAAGTTATATATAAAAAAAAAAATTTCTAGAAACAATTGGAATTCAAGGTAAATTGAAATTTGTACGCAAAACTATTATTTTTTTAGACTTGCTATGACGGTATGCAAAACCATTGATTGAGATTTACGATTGGAAGTTAAAAAAATCAGTCATTAAATTGATTAATATAAACTTAAAGGAAAAATAAATCATTCGTTGCTTACCTGGAAATGAACCATGCTATTAAACATAAACGTAAACAATATAAGTTATATCAAAAATAAAAAAATAAATGAAAGTAAATCAAGTGGAATGTTATTGTGACACAAGCAAAGTGCGGAGTTAGAATTATTAAATGTCTAATCAGCGGATTATTTAAAATGATTACTTGCTGTGGGAACATGTTTGTTTTCATTCCGATTTTAAACCAATGGTTTTTAATTCTAGCATAAATAACGCAACAGAAATATCATAATAAAAAAATTAAATAGTAAAACGAAATTATTAGAAATAGAATCTTTAAAAATGGAATATTAACAATTTAACGAACATATTAACGTCCACAATATTGAAATTAATAAAAATAAATCTTTTACTTATCAGGAAAACATTTAAAATAAGCTGATAGTGAAAACATTCCATTTTTATATTTTATTTGGAAATCAATTAGTCAAGACTTCTACTACTTATTAAGTGATAACATACATTAATGCACAAAAATTTCTTTAACAACTATATCTATATCAATAAAAATTAGATGAAATTGATAATCAAACTTTAGTCGAATGTACAATGTGAAATATTTTTATAATATCAATCAGCTATAAAAATGAATTCACATCAAATTGAAAGGAACTAAAATAAATTTTTTACATGACTAGTTTCCTATCTGAAAGTATTATAACTGTGATGGCTTAAAACTCCATATTAGTGAATAACTATATATTGGATAAAGATTTAGTTGAATCATAAAAGTGTAATAGTTGTTCAACTTGTACGTGCTGATAATATAATTTGCAATAAATTATTGATCAGGTGCCATTTCAGCTAAATCACAATTCAATTTTTTCATATTTAATAAGAGTAAAGTGTTGAAAGAATGTTTACCATCTCTAATAAAAAAAATTAAAAAAATTAAAATAATATTTTTAAAAACCACGTTTTTGTAGTGGAGAATAATAATTAAAAAATGAAAATTTGAAAAACGAAAAACGTGGGGAGCATGAAATATATAACAGTAATGCTATATTAGTGTGTGTATGTGTGCTCATGAGAATATGTGCATGTATATCTGTAATTGTAATTGCATCTGAATGTGGATGCGTATGTGGAATATGTTTGTGTATATGCATATGTGTATGTGGATGTATATGTGGATGTGTATGTGGCTGTGCATATGCATGAGTAAGAAAATGTGTATATGTATGTGCATATGTACTGTTATGTATTTCATGCGCCCCACGTTTTTCGCTTTTCAAATTTTTATTTTTTAATTATTATTAGGAGGCTTCGCCCCCTGCTCGCTGGCGCTCGCCAACTCTCGGAACTGCTTTCGCAGTTCATTTCGGATTGCTTTGCAATCCGATGCTCGCTTTACTCGCTCATTGGATACGTTCTTAACGTCTAGCTTTTGTATACTTTTTTGAACACTGAAGTTCCAAAAACTTTTCACTGTAGAAAATTCTAAACCTGTGCATTTCAATATTAATTTGAAATTGCAAACAGTTCACATATTTTTCTTAATCACACTATTCTAAATTTCAGTTGTTGAGAAAAGTAACTGTTGTAAGTTTTGTTTT